ATACGTAAAGATTGGAGAAACCACTGCGGTAGAGTGTGTCAGCAAGTTTTGTGAAGGTATTGTAGCCATATTTGAGAATGACTATTTGAGAAGGCCAAATGAGGCAGACCTCCAACGACTACTAAAAGTAGGCGAAGAACACGACTTCCCTGGAATGATTGGAAGTATTGATTGCATGCATTGGCAATGGAAAAATTGTCCTAAGGCTTGGCAATGTCAATTTACCAGTGGACATAAAGGCACAACAACAATAATACTCGAAGCGGTTGCTTCTTATGACTTGTGGATATGGCATGCTTTTTTTAGATTGCCAGGTACATTGAATGATATAAATGTGCTTGAAAGGTCACCTGTCTTTGATGACATTGAGGCAGGTGAAGCTCCGCATGTGAACTTCACTGTGAATGGTCATCAATACAATTTGGCGTACTATCTTGCTGACGGAATCTATCCGAAATGGCCTGTCTTTGTCCAATCACTTCAATATCCTCAAGGCGAAAAGGCAAAATTGTTTGTAAAACAACAAGAATCTTGCAGGAAGGATGTGGAACGTGCATTTGGGGTTCTCCAAGCATGTTTTGCTATAATTCGTCAACCAGCTAGAATGTGGGATTTGAATATCTTGTCAAAAATTATGAGAGCGTGCATTATTTTACACAATATGATAGTGGAGGATGAACGAGATACGTATAGTCGAAACTGGGGAAACGTTGAGTTTGAACCATCAAGCATTGCTAGCTCGAGCTCATCATCTGATTACCAAACACAAGTGTTGCCTCAATTTGAAGTTCATGTTCAAGGTAGGTCTGAATCAGATATTCATACTAGATTTGAACTCCGAGATCGAGCCAAACATCTTCAATTGAAGGAGGATCTTGTTGAGCACATTTGGCAAAAGTTTGGAGCAACCACAACTTAATTTTCAACTTTCGGTTTTAATTTTATCAAATTTTAGTGTGTTTTTAATAAATTGTACGGTTAATTTATCATATCAATAAAATCATGTCTTGTTGTGTTTTTAATATTATAATAATATTTGATAAATATCAAAATTAAATGAATATGAATAATTTATATTTTAATATATATGTGTGATAATATTAATTACTATCATATATGAAAAAACGAAATATTATAAATATATATGTGGAGAAATAGAAAAGTGAATTATTTTTTGAATTGTCCCCTGCTGTGGAGTGCATGTGATAATGGGGACAATTGATGATGTAATAGGAGAATAATATGATGTGGCAGGGGATAAAGTGAATTTCAATTATCCCCTGCTGGAGTTGGTCTAAGAGTGTGTGTTTGAGTGTGATGTTAAGAGTGTAAGTTGATAGTAAGATACGTAAATGTCAAATGTCATCTTCTTTCACATGTGGCTCTGAAGTGAATAGTAGTATTATTGATATGCTAAATCTTGTCTTCTTCACATGTGACTCTAAAAAGTGAATAGTAGAGCAAATATGATATTAAGATTCTTGATATGTTGATAGTAAGATACGTAATGGTCAAATGCCATCTTCTTTCACATGTGTCTCTGAAGTGAATAGTAGTATTATTGATATGCTAAATCTTATCTTCTTCACATGTGAGCTCTGAAAAGCTAAGGCATGAACGAATCTTTTCTACTACAATCCAAATATGAATAGTAGAAGTCACATGTGAACTCTGGAAACCAAATATTAGGTATTATAAATACCAGATGGATACTAAGTTCATTAATACTCAACAATCCATTCCCTACTTCAAAAAAAATGGATCCACCACCATACGAGTTTAACTTAGAAGAACTCCAGAAAGAATGGGATTTGGAGGAATCTTTACTCAATCACCAACAACGATTACTTGAAGAGTTACAAGCTTCAAGTAATCGATCTCATTAGCTATGACCCATATTTTTTAATAGTTTTTGAATGAATGCAAATTAATTGTCTATGCATCAAAATTTACAATTTTCATTAGCTATGACTAATGGATTTTGTCAAATTTATCCTTTTAAATGAATTTAGCTTTATTATGTTTACATTAAAATTGATGATTTTTATGAGCTATGACCCATAATTTTTAATAGTTTTTGTTTATTTCAAATGAATAAAAATTTATTATGTGTACATCACAATTTATAATTTTCGTGAGTTATAACTTATGATTTTTTTAAAATTTTATTTATTTGAAATAGATGCAAATTTATCATGTACATCAAAATTCATGATTCCATGAGCTATAACCCACAAATTTTGTTGATATCTAAATAAACGCAACTTTATTATGTATACATCAAAATTTACAGTTTTTATGAGTTATAACCATATTTTTTGTTATTTTGTTTATTTTAAATGAATACAAACTTATTATATGTAAATCTAAATTTTAATGAGATATAACTCATGATTTTTTAAATATTAGTTTGAATTAAAAATATAAATTAATTATCTTTGCATGAAAATTTATGACTTTTATGAGATGTAACCTATGTTTTTTTATCAATTCATGTTCATTTATGATGGAAGTAAATTTATTATGTCTACATTAGAATTTACAATTTTATGAGTTATAACACATGATTTTTATTATTTTGTTTGTTTATTATAAAAATAAATTTATTATGTATATATCAAAATTCATGATTTTCATGAGCTATAGCAGATGCGTTTCATTAATTTTAATTTTTTTGAATGAATGTAAATTTATTATGTACACATCAAATTTTATAATATTCATGAGCTATAACGCATAAAATTTTGTCTACTTTTTCATTTTGAATGAATTTATTTCATTATGTGTACATAAAAATTAGGAATTTTTAAGAGCTATTACACACTTTGTTATTGTCAAGTTTGGTTTGCTTTAAATTTGCCAATATGTCAAAATTCATAATTTTCATGAGCTACAACCAATGATGTTTGTCAATCCATTTTGAATGAATATAAATTCATTATATGTACATTGAAATTCATGTTTTTCATGATCTATAGCTTATGTTTTTTTAAAATTTTAGTTTTTTTTTGAAATGAATGTAAATTAATTGTCTATACATTAAAATTTATAATTTTCATGGGCTTTAACCTATAATTTTTGTCAAGTTTAGGTTGTCCTAAAGAAATATAAATTAATTGTCTATATATATTAAAATTTATGATTTTTATGAAAAACAACCCTCTATTTTTGACAATTTTTATTCTTCTTAAACGAATGCAAATTTATTTTGTGTACACTAAAATTTATGATTTTTAAGAAATATAACCCTCGATTTTTATCAAATTTTCTTTTTTTTGAAGAAATACAAATTTATTATATGTATATCAAATTCACAACTTAATAAGTTATTATCCATGATTTTTGTCAATTTTGGTTTATTTTGAATGAATGTAAATTAATTGACTGCACAGCAAAGTCACGATTTTCATGAACTATAACTCATTGTTTTGTTAATTCTAAGTGAATACAAATTTATTCTTTGTGCATCAAAGTTTAGTAATTTCATGAGCTATAACCCTTGATGTTTATAATTTTTCTTCTCTTCAAATGAATACAAATTTATTAAGTGTACATCAATTTTATAATTTTCATGACCTATTACTCATTATGCTTATCAATTTTTGTTCATTTAAGATGGATGTAAATATATTATGCACACATCAAAATTACCATTTTAGTGATCTACAATCTATGATTTTTTTTCAAAATATTTTTTATTTGAATAAAAGTAAATTTATTATCTATACATCAAAATTTATTATTTTTATAGGTTATAATCCATTATTTTCATTAATTTTTGTTCATTTTGAACAAATCGAATGTGTATATTAAAATTTATTATTTTTATGAGCAATAATGCATAATTTTTATAATTTTTTGTTTACTTTAAACGAGTGCAAATTTACTATATTTACATCAAAATTCATGACATTCATGAGGTATAACCCATGGATTTTTTAATAAATTTTATGAATAGATTATTGTCGATTATGGTTAGTTTTTTAGCAAATGTAAATTGTCTATACATCAAAATTTATAATTTTCCATGATTTTATCATTTTTTTTTTATTTTAAATGAAAACAAATATATTACATGTATATTAACATCTATGATTTTCATGAGGTATAATTCATATTTTCATAACCAAAAAAGGAGAAAAATTGTGTTGGATCGGAATTACTTGATGATTAGTGCTTGTTTTCTATTTCTTTTTATGTTGGGTGATTAATGGATATATGTAAGCCAATTGTTGCTTTGGGCACATATGAATAAACTTCAAGATCATACTGTTGGGATTCCTTTTCATAAACAATGCCTTTTCTCTCTAAGTAAAGAAGTTAAGTCTACTTGACTATAATTGAGGGTGCAAAGTTTAAGTCAACTAAATACTTTTTGAGTTGTTGTGGAACTTCTGATGCATCCAAGGGCTAGTAACATAAGTTTTTCTGATGAGGAGATGATAGATGACTTCTCATATATTGTTGTTTTTTCAGTTGTTGTTAAAGTTTTGACTAGATCTTTACTTTGTCTACAACTTCCTTGTTCTTCTCGAGGTTAGATTATGAATGAACTTTTTAGACGATTTTGTGTCAGAGTTTATTTCACACATGGGGAAGTCTCTCTTTGTTCTTATTTATTACTGTGTGTTTGTTACATGCTTGCTAAATTTGCCAATTTCTATTTTTGAACTGTATATGATCACCTACAGGTTCAAAAATTACATCAACCAATGTTACTTGGAGCTGCTATTAATTATCAATACAGTATTAACATGGACATCTTTTGTATATTTCTCAATGTGAGTGAAATCAGAATGATGAAAAATTTTAATTTTCTACTTTTAAACAAATTTTATCCTATTTTTTTTTTTTACATTTGGCTCCGAGAATCAATCACAAAACAATTTCACGCTGCTATTAGTTATTGACTATCATGCAAGTCCTTTCAAAATTTCTTAGACAGCAATTAACTGCTGACCACGCTACTAAAAAGATCCAAAGTTTAACAATTTGTTCAACTCTAGATGCATTGTACAGGTCGGGAGATTGCATTAATGAAAGTTTCTCAACAAGATATGTAGATTCATTTCCCAAATTGATATGGAGTGGACAATTCATGATAAAAAAATTCGATTGCCAGTTATCACATGATGTAGCTTACACAATAGAGTAATTCTCAATTCTACAATGTAGCTTACACAAAAGAATAATTCAATTAATTGCTGTTAGGACTCATGTATATGAGCCTACTTTTGAATCTTGTTTTGATAATTTTGCAAACAATTTATAATATGTTTTTCAGTATTTATTTGTTGTTTCAGGTTAAGTAACTCAAGAGTTTCATTTATGTAAAAGCTTATTCAACTCAGTCAGATCCAAGATTTAGCTTCTCATGTATATCATCTTGGTACAACTAGCATATTACTTTATGTTGTATGAATATATCTCAAGCTTAATATCCATATAACACACACATTTGTTTTTAATGTGATTTTGTCAATATACTGAGATATCAGTGTATAGACTTAATTTTAGCTATATACAGTTTTTGTTAAGTCTACAAACTCATTTAAAAAGGCATCATATCCTTGTTTATCCCAGTTGTTCAAAACTAAGAAAATTTTTATGTTTTAGCAAAACTATGAGATTTTACAAACAGTGAATCACATTTGGAAAATTCCTTTTGGAACATACTCATATATATGTTTATAAACTATTCTCCAAATTTTACATTTTTTAGAATTTATTTGATATTTTTTAACATGGTCCAAAGTTCAGCTTTCCTGTATTTTTCTGTTCTGTGCACGTTTAGTCGACTCATAAGTCGACTTACGAAGTGCAGCGGAATTGCCATTTTTATCTGCTGAGTTGACTCATATAAGTCGACTCATGAGTCGACCCATAAGTCGACTTATTAGAGAGCCGTTGTACAGTAAC